ATATATATATATATATTGTAATTTAATAATTTAATAATATATACCTGAGCAATATATATATATATATATTACACACAATTCTTCTGGAAGAAAGAATTTTCGCACTTAATACATTTTCTCTTCCACGAATCTTCTCCACTTAATACATTTTTCCGATTTTAAAAATCGATAATTTTGTATTTATCTAAAACAAAAATATCTCAATCTTGATATATTGAAACTAATAAATATTAATAAAACAATCCATAATAAATTTTACACCACAAAAGAAAATATATTATGTACTACTTTTTGTAAAATAGAGGAACGGGGTATCAATCCGAGATATCAGATCGAGTGCGCAGCATAAACTGAAGGGAATCTCGAATTCACGGAGGATCCACGTCCGTTCGACGCAGTCGCAAAATACGATGCCAGCAAGCTTTCGTCTTTCTCTCTTCATCTCGTTACACTTTTCATCTTTCTCGCTTTATTAGTCTTCAGAATGCATAAAATCGTGCTCTCTGAGAAAAGTAATTAACAGGAAATATCTATCGTATGTAGTACAGTTACTGAACTTCACTAAATTATATATCAAGATAGCAGAGATTTAAGACATAAGTAAATATAGTAAGCTATTTACTAAAAGATTCCTTTCTAAAAGTACAAAGACTTTTATATATCTGAATTAAATTTAAGAAAAGAATAACATTTCCTAAAATATTTTTACAAAATTAAAGAAAAAACAAAAATTTTTTTAGTTTCCCGAATTTTAAATATTCCAAATATGTTGATTTTCATACAGAAATGATAATGATTTAAAATTTTATAGAAAGAAAATAATAAATAATTATTTACATTTCATTACTGTACAAATATTTATAAAAATTTATATATAAAAATATTGGATTGTTTAATACATACGGTGAGAGATCAGCAACATCACATTAAAGTTTTAACTTTTAAATGCTAATCTATAATTATAATTTATCATCCAATCAATGCTTTTAAATAAATATACATTACATTCATAAATTTGCTGATAAACGTGCAAATAACAGAACATTTTTTATAAATTAATTATCTTAAGTATCCTAAAATATTGCATCAAACAATTTAGTAATCATAAAACTTTAAAAAAAATCTTTTTAATATTATTATGCAAGTAATTTACATATCGTGCCCTTTTTTATTTATTTCAGAATTTTAGAATTACATTGATAATAGATAACAGATTTTATGTTTAATCAAATATAATCAATTAAACTTTGTTCCAAACAGATATAAATTTCATTCTTGTTGACTTGTTAACGTCCCTAATGAATTCTCGAATTACCTGTATCACTGCTAATAAATTATTCATATTAAGTTTGGTAATCAGTTATCCCTCAGGTATGCTCTGTATCGACAGACATCGGCGAAGATATTCTAGAAACTGTTGCTAAATTATCGCTCGTTTGGTGTTCCGTTTACGAATCCACTTGGAATTCAATTAGAATTCTCACGATAAGTGAAACGGTGTACCAGTCGTACTTACAACGAGTTCTCATATGCAGTTATACTTTTTCAGTATCGTTACCGATCTTTTTTCTTTCAGTCCCATTCTCAAGTACAGAGCGTATCTTTGTTGCTTTATTTTGCAATCGTATACATCGGTGTTTTATCGCGAGTGCTCTGGTTTTCGGATTTATTTCGAGGTTCTCTTAATTACTCGTGATTGATTACTTACACATTGAACCACCGCTGGAAACAGACAAGAACAGAAACAAAAGGATGTGGTGAAGCTAAACAATGCGTAGGTACGTTTTTCTTTTTTTATTGATAGTTAATCTTTTTTTATTGACTATATTCATTTTTCATCGTGTCAAAAAATAATCCTGAATTTTTATAAAATTAATTAATGATAAGTTTGCGTAATTTATCGGCACAAATTTTAATACTCCTTTTCCAAAAAATTAAAAATAATAGTTAAAAGAAATATACAGATTTAAATTAAGATAGTTTTGTTAAAATTAGATCAGATTAGATTTATGTCAATATATGCTTTTGGCAAATTGAATTGATTCTCTTGTTACATATACATGACAATGTCGATTTAACAAATTTGCAATAGATTAACTGACTTACAATAGATTAACTGAACATTTTTTAGTACACTCGTACAGAATTTTATTTTAAATGTATCTTGCCTTTAATATATCTTACGTATTTATTACATATTTATTTTACATAGCTTATATATCATAATTTGAACAAATTTAATTAGGTGTTCTGTTATTTGCATGTTTATTATCCACGTTCATAAACGTTTCTAGAGAGAATTAATAACTTCAAGCTGGTATATTAAACACTTCATTACATCATACATTGGCAATAATTGCAATCAATTGTTTGCGATTGTTTTTTTAATGTACATAGGTATTATTTCATGAAACAAGTAGATTTTATTATGTCTTTGAAAGTCGTCACGATTATTTGTTTGAGAAACAATGGAACAATGTATTAACCTAGGTCGAATAAAAAGTAAAAAGATTTCGATAAATTATTTGCGGATTGTTACGTCCGTTTGATCAGATAGATGAGCATAAAACAAACAGAGCATTTTAACTGTGGCACGATGCCCGCGAATAGCGTATCATCGTAAGACAGTGTATACTTTGTGACGTTCTAATAACGAGATACAGTCTATAAAAGTTAACAAGATATATTGTTTACGCGATCAGTACGAAATCTGTGAAAAATGAAATTATTGTAAAACGTTAATTTTTTTACTATATAAAATTTTTCTAATATAAATAATTTCTAATATAAAAATATTTTCTTAGTAGCCATTATAACAGAAAATTTGTATATATTATTTAAAAAAATAACATACTAACGTTCATTTAAATTATTTAGATAATTATTTAAAAGATTTTTTAAAGCAATTTTGAAAGATTTCTTTATGTAATTTTCATTAATATTTCAGTTAAAAATATAATATATGCTTTGCAAGGACCAAATTATATTTTCTTGAAGAGCTGTTATTTAATAACGCTTGTGCGTGCAAATGCTTGCACGTATCACATAAATGTGAAACAAATCATAATGTGCTATTTACCCAACTTGTGAGATCTTGCAGTCAAAGCAAGTAAAACGAGAAATTGAGAACGCAGTATATATTAACGTACTCGTCTCACCTCAGCTTTATCACGTGTGAAAAGCCAAAAGGTAACAAGTTTGAACAACTTTCCCATAGAAATACTTTGAGTTGCATTTACGATATGCTCTTTTACATTAAAATGAATAATGAGCGAGTAACATTCGTTTTAAAATTAATTGAAAAATTAAATGTTATTATCGAGTTACGTGCTTGCAGCATATAATTTGCTTTAATTCCGGAATAAATTTATAATTAGGCGTGTATTTTTGCTAACAAATGTTTAATTCTGTATTTATCGAAATTTCTGCGACTGTATAAAAAAGATATATAACAGCTTTTCTATGTAACATTATATAAATTATTAATTGGTGTCTCTGCAAAAAATTATAAGATTCATAAGGTTTTTTGTTATTAATACTTTATAAATTATATCTTGGAAAAATTAATATTAAGTACAAATAAACATCCTATTAAATATATACTATATATTATGTACTATGTATTATGTATAAAATATTATATAATTTATACTATATATTATTAGAACTTACTTAGAATTGAAATTTACCAGCGGATGTAATATATGGTGATCACAAAGCTGGAAACAACAATATATGCGACGACATTTAATTATTCTTTAGAAATTTTCTCTATGTGATGGTCATGTATATTTATATATGCTAACTGGAATGCGAAAGACATTAAAATAGTTTTCTTATTAAAATTTGCAATATAATGTACTTCACGCTCTTAGCAAAAAGCATTCCTATGAATTGTTCACTTCTGCTCGTTGTTTCTATATATGTAAATATTTTATAAATTTGTAATAACATCAATATTGGAGAATTGACGAAATTATGAAATATAAAATCATACGTATTAAATTTCAAGCTGTAATATGGCCAAATAAAGATTTTATTCTCATAGTATTTTGCCTTCCTTTCTTTCCATAGTATTTTAAATTTCTTGCTAAGCTATTTTAATAAAGAGATTATACGAGATGAACTGTATTGAATGTACTTTCAATCATTTAAAATCTGCTTTACAAATCTGCTTTAGGAAAACGTGAGGTAAAATATTTCTTACACAGAAGTATGCTATTTATACGACTGAAAAATTTATGATTGGATTTTTAGCTTACGCTCCATTTCATATTCTCTATTGATGATCAATCTGTAGAATTTTAAAGATTCTCATTTTCTCATTCTCATTTTTTTTAAGTTATATATTGCAATTTTTTCATAAATTAAAATTTTGCTAGTTTTATAAACAATTGTTTTATAAACATTTTATTACAATTGTAATATTTTTTACATTAAAATTTTTACAACAATTTACTTTATAATTTTATAATAATTAGAAATTAAATATGTTTTCACCACAATTTATTTTTTGACGATAAATAATCCTTCCTAAATATTCTATTTTTTCGAATGTATGTATTTTAGATTTTCATTCTTTATACAATAATTACACATTAATCTGTTTAATTACAATTACTAAAACTCTCTTCTTACCCAAAACTTCGAAAAATAAAAAATCTTTTATGTCTCTCATCACTTACACAAACATGTACATATGTATTATGTTTTAGTATGTAATTAAGTACTTCGTGGTGACCTCGTGGTGACCTTGTCATTAAAAATAAAAAAGATACTGCAATAAAGGTTGCAAGCTTTTTTCTTTTAGAGAAACATTCTATTTGCTTCGGCTTCTTTTCGTCTCGAGATCTTATGATCTAAACGTAGCAAAATCATATACGTCACAATGTACATAGCAGTGTTCTATCTTTTGTTTTTCATTATTGTGTAATTACAAAAATTCACATTTTAATTTTGTAATTAATAATTATAATAATTATAAAAAGTAGAATTACTAAAATATTAATTAGTAGAGATGTCAGATGTATTGTAGTTCACGGCATGTATTAGCACTTCATA